GAGAGAGAGAGAGAGAGAGAGAGAGAGAGAGAGAGAGAGAGAGAGAGAGAGAGAGAGAGAGAGAAAGAGAGACCGCCGACCGACATTAAGAAAGACAGCGCGGTCGGATTGCGCTACACGATTAGAACACCGAAAGAGATTGGCAGGCAAGGCTACACCGGCAGGCTGGCATCTACTATCTATAAAACGAGAGGCAGAGGGACCGGAGACGAAGAGAGATTGCTCAACTCTCTACCGGGTATGCGTTGTAGATAGACCAGATGTACCTGAGACGCAGGCAATGTGCTGCCAACGTACAAAAATAGGAGTAGTAGTTTAACCCGTGAAACACGCGTGTAGCGGGATCAGACCATTCACGTGAGTGTATAGAACACCAAGGCTACCCGCTTAGATGATTAGGCCACAGGCCGAGCCTGAACTGAGAGTGTCCATCTTTCTTCCTGACTCGTACCTTGCACCATTCAAACCACCCACTGGTTCGAGGAAACTCTTATTACGCTGACGATCAATTTTCGATTTTAGAGGTCACCAATAACAACGCACTTGTACATTGCAACAGCAGCCGATGAGAGCCTCGGCTAGGAGGGCCCCTTGTTTGTAACCGTAGGGCGCTCTGTAGACACTACAGGAAGAGCAGATACTAATCAGATAAGAGCAGGTTACAAGCACACACACGTCATTTGCACGACAGCACTGTTTTGCATCAGTGTTACAAGCAGTCGCACAGACAGACGTATCGAAACAAATTGCAGGTGGTTTGTATAGAACCTGAACTCCGACCAACGGTGAAAACGTTTACGTCAGATATTTTTTTCTAAAAAAATGGATTTATTTGTTCGAACCGGCGTACGAACTGACACACACGGGAACAGGCTCGAAAACGGCGTGTGCTGAGCGCCGAGGGATGACCGGCGGTAGTGGATACCATGATATCAAGCCAAGGGACGTGCGAGTGACCAGAAGATTCCCCGATGCAGCGATAACGAACAGACCACACCGGGGCAGCAGCACCACAAGCAGCGAGATCACCAACAAGGGCAGTAGTGGTGCTTCGACGGAAACGTTGTCCACCCATGACAATGGCTCCGAGAGCGATGTTTTGGGAACGCGCTTGGTCCGCAATAACCTCTTCCCTGGTACTGGCCCTGAAAGCCTGAAAAGTGAAAGTCTCACGGCCATACAAAGTAACGGACGAAGCTTGTCGCCGCCGTCGCGGTGCGGTGACGGTTGGTCCCCAAGACCTACCCAAGACGATCAAGTAGTGCACTCGCAGCTTGAAATAGAAAAGGGTGAGGCCGTCGAATGTAACGATGACGACACTGCCGGGGATGGTAACTCGACGAAAACTGACGGTGGCGGAAGCCGTACAGCGCACAGTTCCCACCATGGTTCGAAAGCTGGACAGGACATTGATAGCAGTGAGTTGTCTCGGAGCACACGAGGGACCTTTGATACGGTTTCTGATCTCTCTTGCTCTGGGACTTTTGCCGGACTTAGCACTGCGGGTGACGACCATGAGATCGCCCAGGACTCCTCCAGCGAGTCGCCTAACCTCGCTCGTTTGGTGGCTTCTCCTAGTGGTGATGATCAGGACAGTGACGACATTGAGGATAGCCACATCACTCATCTTGTCCAAGATAGACGTCGGTGGCAGCTTCGAGCTTTCGAAGCCGAGTACGAGCTGGCCTCGATGCGATCCTTCCGTGCTCATTTGGATAGCGGCGGCGACGACACCAGGGGAGAAGGATGGCGACCAGTAGAATCAGCAGAACACCAAGACTCTTGCTCCGCCATCACGCGAGCATCTGCAAACTCCGGAGGACAGCTTTTTTCGGGAGTGCCACCGATTGAGGTCGATCATGAGCCAAACGGCCAATGGCATACGCAGACAGTTAACGAATCGTCTTCCTCAGCCTCTTCATGCTCCACAGGCAGGCTAAGCGTGGAGGCAACTCGGCCAGCGGAGGGCGTCTCAAGTGCCGCCGACGAAGCCCAGCTATTAGAGGCAGGGTTGGCAGAAAACAACCATTTCGCAACGAAGAGAACCGAGTGCAAAGCGACCAGTGATTCAAACGACTTATCCCAGCATATGGGTAGCGATGATGATGGGGGTCATGGCAAATTCTTGGGCATTGTCGATAACGATGATGAACAAGAAAAGAACAGGACGGGGAGTCACCGTCTACTACGGGAGGAAATAGTCCATTTGAAGGAGAACCTTCGACAAGCGGAACTTCGGCAGGCGGCCGCGGAGGCTACCATTGCGAGTGTCACGCAGCGAGCACGGGCAGCCGAGGTGTCTCGCGAGGTCAAAGAAATCCAGGTCAGAAACTGTGTGAGGTTCAGTAGGGGTCGTGGTGATAATGTGCTTTGGGCGTGAATGTGGGGCAAGCAGGACTGCAGTGCGTTTTCAAGGGCGCCAAGCCTGTTCGTGTCTGCGAGCACTTCCTTTCCTCGCGTTTGCGAACGTACCCACAACGTCATGTCGTACCGAAGTTGTTGGTATGTAACGGTCCCCATTCCTCTGCTGGTTCGACCACCGGCTAGGTGAGCGTTGGTTTATGTTTTTTGTACTCGTGCGATGTACATCTGGTATATTTATCCAACTACACTATTGCGTGTGGTCCATTAACCGATCTATTATGCATCGAGCCAGTCTTTTTATTTTTACGTTGTTGTCTCCAATTCAAGCAATGAACCCCTTGTACAATGCGCCACCACGCTGTGTCCGAAAAATTGCCGTGCTACATGCTGCCAAACAGATCCGAAACCTCGAGATCAGGCTCGCCAGGCGCACGAATACCGACAACATCCACCAACAGACATGCGGGCGATGGAGGGGGAGACAATTCTCGGGTGGCAGCGAGAACGCGAATGTTAGCACGAACCTCGATTTCTCCCGGTCACGACACGAGGTATTTCCGGTGCAAGAAGAAGAGGAGGAATACCCATCGTCGCCATGTGAGCCAGTTCAAAACAACCACGGGTGCCCCCCTGATATGATATCGACTGATGCGCTTCGTCGCAGCTGCATCTCCGCCGACCGTACCATTCACGGACCTTCTGGACCCGACCTGCTGCCCGCAAAAAGGGAAAGTGCTCGGCGGGCAATGCACATTTTCCGCCAGAGCTGTGTTGATATCGGGGCACGAGCAACGAGGGCAGGTGATATGATATCGGCAGCGGCGGCAGCTGTAAGCGAGACCGCCAAGGACGTCGCGCACTCCGCTACGGCGGCAGTAGGAGGAGAAAATATTCTTGGACAGCACATGGGGGAACGCAAGGCAGCGGATAGATGCTCTGGGATCGGAACCGATGGAGGTCCTGTCGAGGCGTACTGGGGTAGCGACTACTGCACATCGATGTGAACCGCAACGTGACCAGTGTGTATTGTGGTGTAGCTACCATGCTGTGTTGGGCCTGGGAGCACTTGCCCCGCCTGCTCCTGATCTGAAAAGTTGGGCGAGGCGAAAGGTGTGAGAATCGCACGGTGAATGCAGGACGGAGATTCGGGTGGACTGGAGCGGGAGTGCTCAGAACGTGGAAAGGCGACGCCGCTACGACGCCGCGGTCGTACGTGGAATGCCAGCGTTTTATTTTGGCGACGGGATGGTACTACTGCGTTGTGGATCTTGTTGGCGGTGGCGGTGGTGTTGCCGTGTTGGTATGTTGGTATGTGATGATAACTGTTTTCACTTTCTTTCTGGCCTCCATCTGATACCGCTTCTTGCGCACTCGAGGAACACACACAAATTCTGCCAGCCACAGACTACCACGCAGGGTACGAAACAAATAGACCCCGAAACACCGGGATAAGCCCACTGCCGACAAATAACCTTCACAACAGAGCAAAAACCCAGGAGGCGAAAAAGCGAAACACGCGCAATGACACCTGACTAAGACTCGCAGGCTGAATCAAACAGAAATGGGAATGTGCCCCCTTCAAACACAATAATAATGCACGATTTTTTTTTTCTCCACGAGGCCTGGGTCTGCTCATCTTCAGGCTGCCCACCAACCAGGTCGGCCCCCTCAACACCATGTGGGTGTGAGGAAGGCGTTACAGACGTAATCAAACACAAAACAAAGTACATTTAAATGACACACCACTCGCTCAGAAGAACAAGACCGAACACCTTGTATATGCTATGACAGAAGCATACACACACTTTAATATTCCGCGCATGTGAAGACATTAACAGTAGTGCGTGTTTGAAGCTAGCAACACACGCAGTGGTACATGAATCTATCGCTGAAGCTACCGTTTATTATTCACAACATGCAAGCATTTACCAACACCTTTTGATCGTCCATGAGCACGCGCATTTATGTGCACACGCATCGTGCTCCTATTATTTACATCAAATACCCGTCACATGATGACGAACCACCATCACGTTCTGAAACCGAGCTAAAAAGAACAGGGTTGCAGACCCAAACTTCTTCGTCAACAAACGCCTACTACAAAAAAGACTCGTGACACACTGATGACACCCTACCCTCTCCCGTTATCCTGTGACTGTTCCCTCCTTTAACAACCAGTCTTCGCCGACAACACTACGGTTGCAACTGGCCTGGCAGCAAACATGAGCGCCAACACATACATGCACTGCTCAAGGAACTAACCAGTTCCGCGAGCAAGGCATCATCTCTTCCTGCCTTTCGTGCTTTCAAATACCCAACTGGTCAAGCTTGGAGCGCAACCGCTGCCGTAAATAGTTAGCGTCCAGCGCCAAAACACCAAGAGTCCCATCATCTAGGCCCACCAACAAGTGCCGTTCTCCGGCAGTCAGCGCCAGAGCTCGCACCGCAGAAGCAAACTTCGGCACGCCCGCGCTTGCGGCGGGTACCCCAGCCAATGGGGGACCGGCCCCATCAAGCACGGCCTCCCCACACCCTTTCCGGCTGCCGTCGTCCGCCAGGGCAAGACTGTACGCCCAACGCAGGGTTACGACGCGATCGTGGCCACCTGACAACAACACCGTGCCGTCCTCGGAAAACACAAACGCCCGCAGCGGACCCGCTTCGGCCTTCATCACCTGTACCGCCCCTAACGGGTGCCCGTTAACAGTGTAAGACCGTAGGGTTGCGTCTGCTGGTGAGTAAGCAACGACATAGCCAGCCGACGACAGTCCTACCCACTCCACAGAGGCCCACGGCGAGGGAAGGTTACTGCCCCTGAACGCTCTTGACGCCGTCGCTGTTGCACCGTCTACCCCGGGGCACCGTGAGCTGCGCGAGGCCGCGCCTTCCTCCTCATTGTCTTGGACCCCCTTGCTGCATCCATCTCCATGTCCGCCGTTTTCCGCAGATTCAACAAGACTGCCGAGCCTTCTCCCAGACGCGTCGAGGGCCGTCACTTCAGCCGGCGAAGCGTCGCCCTGCGGTGTTATCGTGCGCACGTACTCCCCCCCCCATAGGGTGTGCACCACAACAGTGCCATCCTCACCGGAACTCACGATGGCGTCCAGGTCCGCCCGGGCGCAGACACAAGTCACCGGAGTGTCGTGCCCGTAAAGGACATGAAGGAGGGAAGACGGCGACACCGGGGGGGCTCGCTCCCCGGCAGTGTCTTCTACCCTCCACACCATAAGCGTGGTGTCTCTCGATGCCGTCACGAGTCTCCGGTACCCTTTGCCTCCGTCGGCTAAAGACAGGCTCGTTACCACGTCGCGGTGACGCGCGATCGAGACCACAAGCCGCCCCGTGTCTAGCGCTGTGGCGCGGAACGACGAGTCCCAATGGCCGCCGCTGAACAGCAGGTAAGATTCCGCGAGGACGGCGAATAGATGCGATCCAAGGCCCACACCACCGCCCACACCCCCACCGATACGTCGATTCCAGCCTTCGCCCCTTGTGTGAACAGGGACGGGGGAACCGGCCGGCTCATGGTCTTGCTGCCGATCGTCGTGGTGGTGGCCGTCGTAAGCACCTAGCGGCGGCCCTCCCGACGACGGACACGAGGACGACTTCGCCTTCGCGTGCTGGTCCTCCGGGTACGAAAGCTGCTGTGGCGGCTGAGAAGCGGGCACACAAGCTTGAGGTAGGGACAAGAGCGACCCCATGGAGGCAAGGGAGACGTGGGACCCCCCGAGACCTCCCAGCGGACGGGTGAAGACAACATCACCGTCATCATCACCGACTAGGCCATAATCGCCGCAGCGGCTGTCAAGGGGCGGCGGTTCGAGCAGCCTGGAAGAAGCCACCCCATCGGGGGCGAACGGCACGCCGAAACGGCGCACTGGAATACTTCCCGCCCCCCCTGGTCCTGCCCCTCCTCCTCCAGCCCCCACCAAACCGCCGCCGCCGTTGTCTCCCGAGATCCTTCCTCCGCCATTTTCCCGTGGGTCGTCGCCCACCTCTACCGCTTCTGCCCGCAGTCGGAAAGGCGGGCTTCTCTCTGGAGGCAGGGTGCGCCATCCGTGGAACCCGATCGCACGGCGTGTATCTACCGTCACGAGGCGCTCTGCCCAGGGGAGTAGGTCGGTGACCACTAGCACAGCGCCACGGCTGACACTTTCCCTCGGATAGCTCACCACGTTGTGTGAACGCGGCGGCTGCGTCGTTCCCGTCCTCGCCGCCGAAGCGCTGTCAACTTCGGGGGCTACGCCCGCAGAAGAGGCAGTCACCGAGGGGATGTTTGCCTCTGCAAGCGGTTCTGTGTTGGCCCCCGGGACAGGGCTTGCTAGCGGTCGCACCACCTCCGCTTCTGCTATTGAGAGGCGACGGGGGTGAGGTGACTTGAACAGCTGAGCTGGGGCCTGTCCGAACTCTTCGATCTGCCTCATCGTCGACTCGTAGAGCTGTGATAGAGTGCGAGTGGGCAAAGAAGCGAAGCGTGGGGGAGCACCGGCGGCGAGGCCCGGAAAGATAGAGAAAGTTTGGCGGCACAAGGGTGGGGGGCTTTGAGCTGCACGAGGTAATACGAATCGATTCATGTCTTTCATCACGGAAGAAAGGATAGAGGTAGCGGAGGTAATACCAGAAAAAAAAACGACACGACCTGTTCAAGGTCCTTTGCGATCGGTCCCCTACAGTCCATGAAAAAACGTAATTAGTAAGGAATGTCTAGATAAAACCAGATCGCCAAACACAAAACAACTCCAAGTGAAACGGGAAAGACGCGTTACAAAATACCACAGGAGTTACAAGCGCTCGTCTCGTGGAGCGGCCGTGAAGCCCGTCGCCCGGATGTCACGCCTATGCCGACGATGACTTGTAACACAGTGCGGAGTCAACGGCCAATTTTGCATGTGATTCACTCCGTACTTCACCTGTGAATCCTGCTCACGCAATCGCGGTAAATCCACCGACCCCGGGTACGTGAGGTGAAAGAAGACGTTGCAAGAATCCACGGCCCCGCGCTGACCCCTGTCCAGCGCCGGCGGCAGCTGCCGACAGCCGAAAACCAGGTCAATCCACCGGTGCAACCGCAGACTGACGTGCTCGCTCTCCAACGCCTCTCGATGACGCCTCACGAACTCCCACGGGTCTCCATGAGCCCACCGAGGGAGTTCCACGTCTCCCACCGGCTTTCCGGTGGCCTGGGTGCAGCCAAGGTCGAACCCAGTGGCGTTGACGAAGAGTTCCGGTAGGTAGTACAGCTCGGGTATGGCTTCCTTAACGTCGCCTGGGTTGTGAGTGCACGATCTGTAGGCGTCGGGGAGAGACTGGAAGAGACGGTCTGCCTTGTCGAACCGCCCGTCCTGTGTGTCGGCGAAAGGGGCGTGGGCAGGGAGCGTAGCAAAGGATATGGCAAGATATGTCAATGATGAGCTTGACGCCTGTGGTTCTGATCATATGAGGTTCTCAGGTCTGGTGCTGAGGAAAGATTTCCGGTGCGGGGGGAGGGGCCATGAATATTTCGTGGCGAGACTCCCGAGGATGATCGGTGGTGGGTTACATAGCGGCTCGAACATATCGCAGCGGTGACGGCACCTCGTCATGGTCGAAACTATAATTTTGCGTTATAGACCACACAACGCAACTTATTATGAACACTGGCGGGCTGTACACCGGCTGTTGACTACCATGTTTAGATGCACTCCGTAGCCGTTGGCGTCATGAAACGCCAATACTGCTAGGGGTGTGAAAGCGGCGGAATTTGGGGCCAAAAAAACGTCCGGTCCATTCGGCAAAATTTGAGGGGGGCACGCGGATTCGGTTATTTTTTTGGTTCTTGAGAATCCCGCTGTTAATACTGAATAAACTATACATAAAGTCAATCTGTTTGTACAGGTAGCTCTGCGTCCACACAGCAGCATGGCTCTTCATGCGTTACACACACCTGGACACAGGTCCAATAGAGGTGACTGTAGGGTTGGATTCTCTTCAAGTTTAAGGGCGGACGAACAACACCAAAAAACATGTTTTTTGGGGCTCTTTGCTCCACGCCCAAGGCGACCTTGGCTCCTCTCGGTCTCGCGACCTTACAGCCCTCTACCTTGGGTTTACAGCTATACCACACAACAAACCGCATCCGAATCGCATCAGCCAACCACGAGATCTACATGTCTGAAAACGGCCCCTCCAGGGGGGCTGCAGCGCCCACACCAGCAGACCCTCCCAAAAAAAAAACCGAGGTCCGCCGTTCGGCAGCAGGAGGCGCGCTGCGCGAAAGCTGAATCAAAACAAAACGAAGTTTGAAGAGAGGACGGGGCAGTGTATGGTTGCCGCGTCAGCAGAAGATAACACGCGGCGCGCTATCGAACGCGGCAGCCTCACCGTCGTAGAGAGAACGCTGGAGGAAACGAAGGGGGAGTTGGTCAAAAGTAAGAAAATTGTGGAAGAGAGCCAGGCTCAACCTCGCTGCCGCCGCCGCCGCCGCTGCTGCTGCTGCTGCTGTTTTTTTCAGCAGCAGCAGCGGCGGCGGCAGGTGTCTGCGTGGCTTCACCGCCCGGCTGCTGCTCGGGTGTGTCATGAGGCATGTGTTCTAGAGTGGGACCGCGCAATGGTGTTGTGCTGTGCCCCATAGCAGGGCGCAAAGCACACAGGCGAGCCGCGCCCTCGCGCGTGTGCGTCAGAGGGTCTTTTCGGGAGGTTCCGACGGTTTCGTGCAATTTCATTGGTTGGTCGATTTTCCATCAGCAAGATCCGAGGACGCTTTTTCGAATTTTTTCCTATAGGAAATTTTCCGCTTTGACACCCCTAACTGTAGAGAGCGCCACCAACAAAACCAGCGCGTGGAAAGAGTGCTGCGACGCGTTCCCCAACAGCCCAATCGACTGTCAAAAGCGAAACACTGCTCAATGGAGAAAACATCAAGATATGTACGCCTTGCCTGAAGGTGGATATGCAGCGATGTAAATGGCTCAAGGCGCATGAGAAACCACATCACGTAGGCGCTGGTTGAGTAGTGCGTTCCGTGGTGGAACGGCGGGAGGGCCATTTCAGCACGTTCGCCACCCATACTCTGCTCCTCCAGGTAGCTCCGCTCGAGCTCGGTGAAACGCATGTGGAGCATCTTGAAAAAGGAGGGCGGGGGACGACGAGGTTGAACACTCATGGGACAGGCAGAGTGACTGGCCTCTGTGGACTGCTGCAGCAAAGCGCTTCAAAGGCCGTATGGTGTTGCCACTTGCTCGTTTTAGCATACGGATCACTACCAACCTCTGAACAACGCCGATCAGGTCCTGATTACCAGTTGCCAATTTCGAAAGTTAATGGGCTCGAGGCCAAAACCGGCGAACCGAGGAACGGCAATTTCGAACCTACTGAGGGTTAAACAGCAATTTGTGCGCCGCCCAAGCTCTTACCTCTCGCTGCTCTGGCCGCTGGGCCCCCATTGGCCATGCTAGATCCCGAAAATTGCGCTCATCTTTCAGATCCAGCTCCTCCGCTGCCCACGCTCTCTCCGATAGCACCCACGGAAACACCGGGTATCTGGACAGATCTGAAGTCGTTCGCCCAGCTGCAGCGTTGAGCCCTCGCAGGTAATCGAAATTCGTAACGCCACACCGTCGACGTGCCCACGCCTGCGTAAGGGGTGTGCGTGCCATCTCGGCCGCGCCCGACACAGCTTTCGTCCCGCTGCCACCCCCGCCACCGACGCCACTGGTACCGCTACGCCCATCACCGTATGCGCCCACGAACATCCCACTCCCTCCCGCCGCGGAAGCACCCCATGTATTTGCCTTCGACCGCGCAACCACCGTTGCGGGGAGACGACCGAGGAACGGCTCGAGCGAAGGTGGTCTCGTACGCCGGAGGGCCCGGAACAGGCCGTTTGCGAGGGAATCACTGGGAAGACCGAGCAAAAGTGAGCCGTCTGCTCCACCCTCGTCGTTGGTCCCGCCGCCCCTGAACCACATCTCCAGCGCCGCAAAGCGCATTCCACCGTACGGGCGGAACAGCATACGGCGTAGCCCTGAGGTAGACCATGAGGAGGTCGGCGCAGGCCGCAGCGCCCATCGGTAGTTGTCGTGGACCTCGCCCGCTTGTCTGTTACCCCCGCCACCGGCGTTCTCTCCTTCCATGCTGGTAGCACTTGCATCTGGCAACCGTGTAAATACCAAACGGTGGCCCTCTACGAGAATAGTGCCAGGGGTCACGCACGACGCGCGCACAACGTCCCCCGCGCTGGAGAAAGTCGCAGATGTGTCGCGTCGGTTCCGATGCGATCCGTCCCTGGCAAGATCGACATCGCCGCTCCCCTCAGCATCGCTGCTGCTGCCTGCGTCATCTTCACCATACTCTGACTCGTACTCCTGTTCCTCGTCTTCTTCCTCCTCCTCTTCCTCCGTCTCCTCCGCTTGTTCCCCAAACCCCTCGCCACTCCTCCTCACCCGTAAACTTTTCTGCTGGTACTTGCACAAATCTCGCCAAAGGCTGGTCTGCGCCGACATCTCTCGGACGTCCGATCGCTTGCGGCTGCCGAGTCTATCCTCAAGCACCTCGTGCCCCTCGACCCCGGCATGGGCATACTCGCCTGCAGGTCCCCGGAGAGCGGCGCCATTGGCCACCGCAGCATCCCCAAACACATCGCTTCCGCTCTTGGTGCTGAAAAGTGTCTTGAGCGACGTCCTCCGCCCACCAGCTGCCCGCAACGACGACCGGGAGGACAACGGCGAGGTTCTTGTCGCCCCCCGCGTACGCTCGCTAGCGATGGTGTGCAGGCTACCGGAGGGATTCCGGATGAGCTTCAGTCGGCGTCCGTAGTCATCCTCACGAGTGCTAAGAGTCCAGTAAACAGAATCGAGACCAAGGGCCTCCACGCCACGACCCCACGGTCCTCTTTCGGTCGCAAGCTGTTTGAGCACGACCTCCCACTGCGCCTGCCGGCGGGTTGTGGCTCTTTTTGTGCCGTTCAGGGCGGAAACCGTGGGACACGATGCAAGGGTGAATATGTGCTTAGTTCATCCGCCGCTCAACAGATATCGGTTGTACGTGGATTACTGCAAAACCATAAGGTTGCTTCAATCAAGCGATGGGGGTGATTTTCGCCATCTTTCGTGCGTGTCCGCCGCAACTGCACCAACTTGCACACCATATCCATTTTGATTTGGACCAAAACGGCTCTGAGAGCAAAAGTCCACAAGTCAAAACATTCTCCCAAAAATATTACGGTATCACCACACACCACAATACGCTGCCAGCTGCAACAATTCCAGCTGCATGTAAGCACCGCAACTATTTGGAGGTACACACCAGAGCAAACCTCAGCGTACCTCTCCTTTGCCTCTGCAAGCACCAACGCCCTGCTGGTCTCCATGCTCTTCACAGCCGTCATCAACTTCAGCACGTCAGCGGGCACTCGGATCCCGGCTTCACCTCCACGACCCTCCAGCGCACGGACACGCACAAGCGTCTGCAGAGCGAGCTTGTGCATCCCCCCTCGGTCAAACCGACGAGCGAGCCCCGTCGCTTCGTGGCCCGCTCCTTCTTCCGAAATGGGCTCAAACGCAGCTTCCAGCAAGTCCCACGTGAGCGGTGCCGCGGTGGCAGTGTTCGAGACACCACTTCCGCTTTTTTTTGTACGCTCCTGCCCCTGTTGGCTCCTGCTAGGGAGCTCGATGCCCAACGTTCGACGGATAATTTCAAGCGCAAGGTCGGCCGAAGGGACAGCAGCTAGAGACGGCGTTTCCGCTGCTATCTGATGCAACACACCCTCGGGCGTGACGCGCCGTCGTCGACTACCGTTGCCACCTCCTCCCGTCAAGAGGTCCCACAGCCAGAATTTCGGCTTCGATCGACGACTGAATGAGAGACGGGCACGCGGCGTCAGCACTGGCTGCAGTGCAGGGGTGTCGCCTGACGTTTGTCTCGGCGCAGATGGGGCCCTTGGTTTTCGTTCGGAATCGTCTCGAGCGATAAGTCGTTCTTCGGCGGCCACAAGCAAGTCTTCGATCTGAGCACCCTGGGTGGCCAGGCACTTGGCCTGGACAAACGTTCAATTTAGAAGCAGGCAGGCGCAGGCAAAACAACGATTACAATAAATAACAAAGAGACGTTAAGCATAGCAGGCAAGGCTACCGTTCGAAGGGTGGGCACGGCACGGAAACCAAAAACAGCGGTTAGTTGTGGGTCTAACGCCATGCGCATGACAGGGCATATGGCAACGAACCGACAACGAATCGACAAAACGATGCTGTTCGCCAACATGAAACACCTCACCAAAAGCTGTAGGGCACCCAAGACCCAAGCCGATTTCGGAGTCAAGCATGTCGTGCGCAGCGCCGTTGACACTCTAGCCGCCACGTTCAACACCTCGAACTCCAAGTGCTCGTAGCCCGACGACTCTAGGCTGTTCAACAGAGCAATCAAGCGTTGGAGGGCCACGAGAGCAGTGCTCGGGGGGCCGTTGCCGGCACCGCCGCCTCCCTTGCCACTCCCGCCACCAAACTTCCCGCTGCTGCCGCCAATGCTGCCACTTTTCCGCCGGTTGGGCTTCTCCTTCGGGGCGTCATCTTCCGTGTGCCCTCCAGCGGTCCCTCCGCCGACAAACACCGCCAGCAGAATTCGCACGAGCATCCATGGGACATCACCTGCGTCGGCGAGTGGGTTTGCTGTCTTCCCCTTGCTATCTATGAACCGCGTCGTACGATAAACCCCGAGAAAGCCAGTTCCACTGCTGCCGCCGCCGCCGCCGCCGCCGCCACTCATTCTCCTAGGAGCACCAGGGGTTCCGCGATCATCAGCAAAGCGACGAGCGTGAGCCGAAGATCCCAAACCTGTGCATTCTCGACGACCCCAGTCCAGCACGTCTTCGGCACCAGGGTCTACAGTCCTCGCCGCGTGGACCCCCTTACCGATACCACTGGTTGCCCCTGCCTCGTCGCACAAACCTTGGCGGTACCTTGCATCCCACAACAATGTATCTCCCGTAGGTCCAATGAGGTCCACCGTGGCATCCAGAAGCTCCCACGCCCGCCAGCCTGCGGCGAGGGTGGCGGGGACTTCCCGCGAGAAAATGTCTGTTCGCGGGACCTTAGCGCGCGCATCTGGAGTTACCGGCGGTGGTGGCGATGGCCAGGATGGCAGTGACATGCCGGTGTCGAGCCACTGCAAAATTCCCTGTATCGGGGACTGGCAGATGAGAGACTCGCCGCTCCATCGAGAAGACCCTTCATCGTCGCTAATTGCTGCGGTTACAACCGCCAACGCCGCCGCAGAGGGCGTTGGCGCGTTTGCCGCGGCAACGGCAGGCGGGTTTGCCACAGGCGGGATGGTGACGAATTCCACAACGAGAGCAGCCAACGGCCACACACATGCGAGCACCGCAGCGGCGCCATGATGGCCACCACCCGATCCGAGCATTGGTCGATGAGAAGGCAAATGAGAGCCGCGCGCCCAGCCGTTGACTTCGCTCTCAAGGTACTCGACTTCGCGTTTCAGCAGGCTCACCTGCATAGCATAAGGAAAGTAATCTTTTGAGTTACAGACCAAAAGTGAGCAAGAAACAACGGGGCAAGCTCATAATGAGTACCAGGTACGTTTTGAGGGATCGACTGGAGCCCAACCACTGGTCTAATAGAGACAATCAACCAAATCGGTCTATGTACAAATCCGACTTTTTGGTGGTTATGTTCTTTTTCTCTTGTGGGACGGTGTTTTTTTTCACACTTTCTTCTGCATGGCATTCAGAGGACCCGCCGGTACATTACCCGTTACGTGTGGGGCTCGCGAGGCATCGGTGATGCCTGTGATGGCCGCTGAAAAGTCGATGGAACTGGCTCTATTTCAGGGGCTGCAAACCCAAACCAAAAAAGCCTTCAGATACACATGAAAACGGAACAGGAACACTTGCTAGCGGGGGGGGGCTTCATTGATGTGCAACGCACCCAAGTCCCACAGACCATGGGCAACACGAATACATACGAGCGAGTGATCAAACGCAGCGGATTACAGCTGTAGAACCTGCAGCAAAGACGTCACTAATAACCTACAAGCACACTCACGCACACGCGAAAAGTCACAGCGAGAAAAAAATATCCCGCACGTGATGTAGAATTCCAGGCAAATTCTGCAGAAATTCTGCAGGTTGTACGCAAAACCGGTACTCACCACGAACGTCACACGCTTGAGATTCAACGATGCGACCACGATGACATTGACCATGTCCTCCTGCGTCGCCCCCGGGAGGCAAGTCACTAACTCCCAGGGAGGAGCCTTTCACCCCCATACAAACTTACTGGTTCACTAGCACGTACCAGTAGATGTTCGACCATATACAAACTCGCAACTCCGCTTCTCACCATGTAGCGCAACATATTTTCCCCCACGGACACGCATGCCATAGTCCCGAGCTCTCCCTGGCAACGCAGGAACGACATGGTATCCTGAAGTTCTGCGAACCCTGCGCCGGGTCTTCCAGGCTTCCCGCTCCGAGCCTTGCACATGGCCAGCCAACAGATGAGCCTCACTGTCTGATCGACCAACTGGTCCTCTCTCGCTGCCTCGTCACTGGCGATTCTCCAATCGTGCCGGCCCGAATTTTCATCCCCAGCTGTACAGTCGGCAATGGATGTCCTTTGACTTGCTGGATAATTCTCACCGCCAGAGGCACTAGCGGCGGCGGTGGCGACTGCTTGCCGGCCTTGCGCCGACGAAACTACGCTCAGAAGGTACTGCTGCCAAGAATCCACACACAGGATGATCTCCGCGTTACGCTGACTCTGAACGGCCGCAACGAGCGTCTCGATGGCTTCTCCACGTAGCGCAGCCCCCAACGGCGCCATCGCCACTTGTTGGCAGAGTGCCGGAAAGGCCTCAGGGAGATGGATGCAGAGGGGAGAAGGAACAGAAGTTGACCCAGATGACCTTCCTGGTCCGGTTCGCCACGATCGGGGACGGGAACGCTGACGTAACGGAGCACTTGGTCTATCCCCTGACCTTGACTTCCGCGTGGAGAAACTTGGCGGGGATTCCAGAAAGAACGGGTCCATCGGTTGGTCGGTTGCTGGGGAAACAGTTGGGGCCTTGGAGTCTCCAGGATGCTCCCGCGAGTCTACAACGCTTGCCGCGAAGCCTCGAGGTAGTTGACCAATCAGTAGCCCTTGCAGCACTTCCATGGTGACCCTCGCCACCGCACTTTCTGCTGCCGCTTCTTCCTCCGGCCGCCGTTTGCTCTCTTCCGAGGACCCCACCGTTCTCGGCAGCCGACCGTCGGGCTTCTCCCACCTCCGTCCTTGTGCGATAGCAGCAGCTACTTGTTCCGCACCGGTAACTTGCCGCTGGGCCCATTGTAGCACGTCGTTGATTTTATGTCTGGGCAACCCGATATGTTCCCAGACCCCCCCGCGAAGTTCCAACACGTCTGCGCCACCGCTGCCGCTGTTTTCGCCCCTGCGATTGTTCGCCTCGTCTGCGTTTCCTCCGCCGGCGCTTTCCCGAGCAGACGGAGCTCCCGTGAGAACGACCAGCTCTTCCACCTTTGCATCAGCACCACCAGCAAACTCGACCATTATTGAAGTGCTTGGCGGCGGTGTCGATAATCCCGGTGGCGACGACGTTGAAGCCGCAGCGGAGGCCGCGAATGCGTTTTGGGCGGTGCTAGCTGGGCAATCCTGCGCGCTGTTGTGGCGGTGGGCTGAGAACTGCTGATTTGCGGGCCCGTCTGTGTCTGGCAAGTTGTCGACACCCCTGCCTCCAGAATCTATTCGAAGGCACGCGATCAGCGTCTGGACGAAGCACAGCACCAAGGGGTGACAGCAGGCACGGCATCAGCATCATAAATGGAAGTGAAATCACATTCGACACTATTCTCGCGGGAGTTCGTTATCGTCCCTGAGAGAGAGAGAGAGAGAGAGAGAGAGAGAGAGAGAGAGAGAGAGAGAGAGAG